AAATGGCCGAATCAGTGGAGGGAATTATAATTTAGGATGTCCATTGACCTTCAAGTCTTCCTATAGATGTTATAATGGCATCCTCACAGCCTTTGAGCTTTTGTTTAACGTTATGTAAACAGTATAAATGAAGAAGAAAGAAATGGTGAAAATATCAAATGACTGCTTATATCAGTGCTATTGATTTGGTTTTCCAGGAGTTTTATGGCTGTCTATTGTAGCAGAGATTCTGTACATCATTTTGCTTCTGACTGGAGCCATTCTTATGTCAGTAGAAATGTGCTACTACAGGACTGTCATTGATGGGCTAAAGATCAACGCCTTTTCTGCAGTAGTCACCGTATTAGCAGGTACAGTTAAGGATCTCAATTTATTACATCCAGAAAATGCAACATTGATAGATTTCCACCTGAAAATTAATAACAGTGTCAAAGTTTCAAAATTATTACAATACCTATGAAGACTCTCACAATACAAGATGCAGCAAAATTTTATGGAAAATACTATTTTCAATTAATTATTTTTTAATATGATTATTTTTATATTTTATATTTATTGTTTTAACTATTTTTAACTTCATTATTTTAATTTTATAATTTTTTATTTCATTGTCAGGTTGGTTGTCAAAGAAAAAAGGCAACATACTCTTCAAAATAACTTGTTTTTTTATTTCCAACATGCCAAGTGTAAAATTAGCAATAGCCAAATTAAAATAGCACTTTTAAAAGGGAATAAAATGTAATTGGATAATTGTTAGTAGAGAATCGTCATTAAAATTGTCTTTCATTTTCTGCATATTACTTCTTAATCCAGTGCTATTTAATCATAGGATCCTACACAAATTCATTTTGGAAGAACCTTCAGAGGGTCCCTAGTCCAATCTGAAGAATCTGGTCTGAATTCAGTGTTGACTGCATGTTGAGCAGGAGGAGGTTGGACCAGAGACTTCTGAAGGTGTCTTACAGCCTGAAGTACTCTGTGATATTATAGAATTGTGACTGAGGAATATTGCAGTAAAAACAGCAATTATGGGTAACATGAACAATGTTTCATAGAGTTATTAATTTTAGAGCCAGAAGCAATCATACCATTTATTTACTATAATTTCTTGTGGAACACATGCCACTGTGCTTCATATGGTCAGGTTTGTTTAGAGCCCAAAGTGATTTATACTTGGTGAAATGATGTCTTTTAGAATGGCACCTAACTGCAAGTCAAACACCTGGCAGATGGCAAAGAATTAATCTCAAGATTAATTAGGGACATGGTTTAGTGGACATGGTGGTGATGCGTCGACGGTTGGACTCGATGATCTTAGAGGTCTTTTCCAACCTTAATGATTCTATGATTCTATGATTCTAAGATTGCCTTTCTCTGTCAAAATTTTGGGCTTTGATCCTAATCCTAATGTTTCTGGATTTGGTGTTCATGCATTTGTGATTGTTGTGCCTTTCTTCATGAATTACAGATTTTTTATTATACTTTTTCCTCTTAAACGTAATCACACATTCATTTGCCAATCTCATTTTTGTTGGCTAAATAAATCAAGTTTATTAAACGTTTGACCGTAATAATGAGGAAGAAAACATTTTCTTCCTTTCTGCAGAAGCCTTTGCATAGTTGAAGACAGCTATCACGTCCTTCCTTCATCTTCTCCAAAAGAAACGATTGAGAAACATGTCTTATGACTTTACATGTATTTCTAAGACCTCTGATCACTCTTGCTGCTCTAGTCTTTCTTTAGCCCAGTTTTTGCACAATCTTCCTAGAGAGCAGCGCTAAATGCGGACACCGGGCCGAACCTCCAAGGACTTTAACAAACACAATTTATATTCCAGATGGTGACTTCTGAAACACTCTAGTTTTGCTTAGTTTTATGGAAGTGTAAAAGTTCTACATACCCATCACTCTGCCCTGAGTTAGGCCCAACTCTCCTAAACCTTTCCTGACAGATATTTGTCTAGCCCATCTTAAAAAAATCTCCAAGCTCAAAAAACCACCACCACAAAAAAAAAAAAAAAAAAAAGAAATCAATGCTGCGACTTCCGTACTAAAGTTTCTGTCACCTTCTTAGGAAATGTAATCCAATTCATACCGTTCTAAAGATTCTCTTCATGTCTAATCTAAAGCCCCAGCTGCTGTAATATTTTACAGCATTTCTTTTAGGACACCCACCTGCAACAGAGAGCAGATGGTTCCTTCCTCTTTGCAGTTATCTTTTACACATTTGAAGATTGCTATCTCAGCTCCCTGTAGTCCAGAGAGCAGTCCCCGAACTTTGCTGCCTATGAACTCTGAAAACCTGCTGGAATATTTCCTTTCTTCTGAATGACTTTCCTGAAAGGTGTCCAGCTAGTTAAAAATCTCTATTATCACCAGTTCTACTAAAAAGAGAAGCCCCGTTTCTCCTGTATCTCACCAAACCTCATGATCCACTGTCATGTCTATTTCCATAGAAAGAGTAGTGAGCTTTATTCAACTCTTTAGGCAGTTTTGCCCAGTATTAGCAACTTTTCCCTCTCCCAGTAATCATAAATATTTACTTTTATTAATGTTCTTTTAGTTTTGGCATGTACAGTATTAAGGAGGCTTACACAGCAAGCAGCAAGCTTTTCCTGGACATTCTGTTTACCAGTAAAATTTCTTGAAATATTAAAAAGTTGAAGAGCATCTGTCTTAGCTGTTAAACATATGTCTAAATCCTTTGTAGATATAACCCAAATATAGTTGCCCTAATTGGTAATGAAGATGCAATTTCTTGTACAAACATGCTCTCGATTCTAGCAGACAAATGCAAATTAAAATTCAGCTACTGGAAACAGTAGCTGCATATTTCTAGCTATATTGAAAACACAATTAAAAAAACCTGTTACAATATTAACCATTGAACAAAACACATTAAAGCTAGTGCTTGATTTCTCAGTTCCCTCAGTCTTTAGCTCAGACTGAATAAAATCCTAAAATGTATGTTTTAATTTGTGCAGAACATGGTGACTTAAAAGAAGAATCACAGTGTGAAATTTTCTGACCATAGGTATGTAGGTTTATAACGTCCCACATGCAGCTCTTGGCTCTACAGAAATTATTTTAATTTGTGAGTGTTTTCTCTATTTAAGAGAGAAATGTGCACTGCTAGTTAACTCCACTGCTATAAAATACACATTATTGATACCACTGTCTTGTTGCCCTCAGTGGCCTTTGATGAAAATGAACATTGACAGGCACCCATGTATGACTATGCTTGCCTTTTATATCTATATTAGTTAAATTTTCACAGTTTCTCAGGCACCAAACTGCCTTTATGCCACTGCTGAAATGGTGAGCCTGACTCAGAATTTAATCCCTGTACAAGAGCTAAGAGGAGAGCTCCAGCACAGGGGCTCAGTTCACACTCCAGTTATATGCATTTCTAGGCAGCCAGACTGGAGGACTCAGGACAGACGTTCGTGTAACTCAAAGAATGGCTGTGACATACCACCTCTCTGGTGAGAGATGGACAACTGGTCTCCGTTCTCTAATAGCCACATTGACAGTCAAACAACTTTCTTCAGTCAATTTATTAAGGAATGTGCTATCAGGGTGCCAGCTAACTACCGAATGCTGTGTTTCACAGCATGAAGCCTCTTGGCTCTGTGCTACATAGACGGGCTCTCTAGTTGCCTGTTGATGGTGTTTGAGGCAATACCGGTATTTCAGGGAAGACCATTTCCCAGTGATTACTGAAGCCAGGTCATTGTTAGCCCTGACTTGTTATGCCCGAGGACACGTGTCCTAGACTGAGAGATCCTGTGTGCTAGCTAGTTAGTTTTGCAAGAATTCATGAAACAGACCTACTTTAGGAACACCTAACAAATTTGGTCTTGTGAGTTTAGTGGAGGACCGTCTGCTCTGAGAAGCTAATGTATTTTAGACAGTGGGATAGTTGATACTGCAAGGGTATTTATGGATTTCTAAATGAAGCTGGAAACAAAAAAATCGATGTTCACAGGGAAGTTTACTACTGGAAGATAAAATGCTAAGGAAAACAGATACCCTTAGGATTAGGCAGCAGCCTAGTAGCAGTTTTGAAAATTAAATGATTACACATAAGTCCCTTTCATAATCTAGACTTTCAGTGCTTTTTAATGGCATTAAGTGTTTGTTCACTTTTTCATTCACCTACATAATGTTGATAAATCTGGCTGCATTTAAGGCACTGGGAAAGCGCATATGACCGCATGGCTTTGAAAAATCTTTCCACTGAACAATAAGAAACTGTGGGAAACCTGTCCTGTGCAATGCAACTGAATGATACTTTGTTGTAATGGCTGATCCCTGCTCAGGGTTGAATTACTAAGAAGTTTTCAGAGGATGAGAGCCAATCAGCTTGTTGCCTTTTAAAATCTATGGGCTGCATGTTCCATTGCTCCCCTAGATTCTTCTAGCATACAGAGCAGATGTCAAGGGACTGTATTAATGATTGTATTGGCAAATATATGACACATAAATACACTTAGATTATAATGTCCAGTATTTTTGAGTGATTTATAGAATTTAGATACTTCATAAAATATTATTCAGGAGCTCAAGGGACAACTGCAAAAAGTTGACAAAGAAGAATGTCCTCAATTTACATTTTCTAATGCTCTTATGATATTATATTTTTTAGGTCTTCTGGGCATGGTTGCTCACATGATGTACACAACTGTGTTTCAAATGACTGTAAATCTTGGTCCTGAAGACTGGAGACCTCACACATGGGATTATGGCTGGTCCTATTGGTACCTATTGGTTTATATTTGGTTCTTCCATTACATTTCAGTCACTTCACCCTATGTTCAAGGAATGTATACCTAATTTATAAGGAATGGGTCTACCTTATTTCACTTCTGGGGATGCAGTTCAGTAACCAGCTGTTTTTCTCCAAATTCAGTTGTTTTAGATTATTGCACAGAATGTATAAGCTTGTGAGTTTTGCATTTGCCATCCTTTAGACAGTACAGAGACTTCCAACTGCTCTGCATGAAGCAGAGGTTCTTCTCCATACACACCAGACCCAGATTTAGTACCCTCATCTCCCAGGACAACTGCCTTGCATAAGTTGTTTAAAACTTTTCCAGCTTTAGCCATTTAGGCTGAATTTTTCCTTATCAGATATATGCTTCAGGTTGTTGTATCTGGAACATTTCAGACAAGATGGTTCAAATTTTTTAAAACAAGCTTAATAAACCCACATTATTTTGGCCCTGTAAATGATTGCAACGTATCCTCTGAGGAGATCTAGTGAATTTATTAAGAAAGAGGTCTGTTCAAAGGATTTTTGCTATAGGGATGTGTCTTTGAAAATCCATCAAATCTGATCAATAGCAAGCATTTGAACGTTCAGGTGCTGGAAACAGCTATTTCCCCAACTCTGACTGAGAAAAAGAATAGGAACAATTGTATTGGGTTACATCAAAAGTCAATCAGGACCAATATTTTGGGTCAGTAGAGCAGAGCTCAGGCTGATTGTCTCCTTCATACGTGCTCTGACAGCCAAAATCACAGCTCGTTGTCACTCATTCTTGTTGCTCTTTCTAATTTTATTGTACCATTATCGAACAAGAGCTTATAGCTCTTTATGATGCAGACTTGCTAGGGATTTTTTCAGTGAAATAGGGGTTTCTTTTGTCTTTTGTTCACCTTCCTAATAACTCAAGTCTCATTTGAAGGTCACTGTACATTGCTCTGTGTCTTTCCAGGAGTGTGTTTCCCAAGCACCAGCAGTTTGTTTGAAGCTATTGTTACACGTGTATAAATGGAGATGTTTCTCTAGTGCTTTCAGAGCACTGAAGGATGGGCCTCGTCAGTGCTCCCAAGCTGGAGATTAGCCAAATAATGACAAATGGTGTATCTTATCCTGTTTGTCCAGCAGATGAGGTGGCCCAGCATCCGTATGTCACCCACTTGCTCAAAGTGGAAAGGGTGATCCCCCTTCTGTCGGGAAGAACTGGTCTGAGAAGGTCCACTACCAAGTATCCAGACAACACCCTGGACAATGTCCAGGGGCTACTTGGATACCTTCAGCGGGTATCATAGGAGCTGTGCAGGATCCTCAAATAGTGTCTTCTTTCCTCCTTTCAGACTTAGATACTTTTTGCTTCTTTGACTCTCACTGCTTCCATTCATTCATGTTTTTGTTCTTGCAATAATAATTTGGTTTCCCTGGTTTGGGGCTCTGATCTCTTTTCTGGTAGGTCTCTCCATTTCTTTCATGAATGGGATTAGGTCTGGTTTTACTCTAAAATCAGTAAGAAGAGTGGTCAGTGGAAAGAGGGGGAGTGTTCCTTCATTACTTCCCCCTTCCTATCAGAGTAGAAACAGAAAACTGCAGACTCATATTGAGAAGCCTGTTCCCTCCTTTCCATCCTACTGGAAGGAGAAGAAAAACACCCAAACCACTGTCGCTATTGCTGTTACTGACACAACTCCATTGATGCCACTATCGCCACCATCATCATGTTCATCACTGATGTCATCACTGCTGCCACTACAGCCAGGCTTCTCCTGAGCACCTGGACTAATGACTTTCACCATGTGGCATGCACTCAGGAACTGAGGATTTCATGGCTACCCTCTAATGATTCAGTGCAACCTGGGCCACTGAATGCCCAAAGAAATGCTTCTACCAACAAAAGACTTTCCAAGCCATCAGTACCTGCATACAGGAAGACATTGAGGAGGATGGTCTGTGTGGTGCCTTTTTACTAATCAATTGTATACTCCATTTTTCTATCAAGATTCACTTTCTTCTTTCCTTTTCTCAGCCTGAATGGCAGCTACATCACCCTGTTTGATAGTAATCTAAAAATAAAGCAAGCCATACATACAGGTGCCTCAATTCCTCCTCCCAGCTGTCTCCCTTGGTTTCTTTCCTCTTATCTCCTTTCATGTATAATGCTGTCTCTCTTCTGATAACCTACATTTGCACCTCCCTTCCTGTTGTATGAACCCTCATCTTCAGCCTCCCTTAGCTGCTCTCCCATTGACTGCATGTGAGAATCTCATCTGGCGGTAAGAGAGGAAGGATGCTGAAGCCATTTGTCTTTTACAAGAGGAAAGAGAACAGATGCCAAAAAAAGGGGAATTAATGATTATAACTGACACTCCCTTTCTAATTACCTCAGCACCCACTTGTGGCCAACAATGTCACCAAGACCATGACAGGGGTATGGGCAGGCAGAGACACAGGCAAAGACTTTGCTACTTTTTCATTGGGACTTATAATAATCTCCTTAGTAGCCGAAGAAAACAAAGAATTGGGCCCACGGCAGCAGCTTTTCATCCCAATCACCAGACCTACTAGAGCAGCTATTGCTGCAAGAACAACTGAGCCTCTGTCACAGATCTTCTGCCTGCCACGGTTCCCCCTCTGTCCTCACATCCAGCTGCCGTGGCCAGGTTTTTTCCTCCACCTGGCCCAGGAAGCACAAAGACCTTTCTTCTTCCTTCACAGTGCTGGAATTACTAATGATGGGTAGACTCACTCTGTGGTATCCCTGCATATCTTTTCAAGAAATCTCGATATTTCTCTTTTCTCTTCCTCAACAGCTTTCCTGGAGGTTGAAAGATGTTTCTATTACTGGTGAATCTCTCACTCTCCTTGTGTTTCTCAGATTGAGTCATCCTCACATCAAGAGACAACAATTTCTCTCTAAAGACCTGCCCTGTACTACATTCCCATAACACACCTGTGGGCAGATTTAAAATTGAATGGTCTCCTTCTTGAAGCTGAATTTCCACTGCAGCCAAACTGCCCTTTATTCTCTGGCCCTCTCAGTGATAAGACTTTGCTCACTTCCTTCCTCAGTTCTCCCTAGTCAGATGGGAGAATCCCCATTTTTTCTAGATTGTTTATGGAAAAGCAAAATTTCTGGCAAAAACTTTGAAGAACCACACTGATATCCTTCTTGCGCTGTCAAAGGAAACTATTTATTTCTGCCCTTTTTTTTTCTTTTAACACAGTATTTGTCTACAAGAGAATCTGCTCATAAGAGATTAATTTCTTTCAGTCTTTGCTAAGAAGCCTTCATAGAAGCTTTCTTGAAATCAGTTTCTTACCCTTATATCATTCAGTCCTTCAAAGGGCTTCAACAGATGGATTAGGAAAAGCACCTTCAACAAAAGTTGTGCTTCATAATATCAGTTCTACCAATTTGTCTACTAATGCTACTGTGCTTCAGTTATTCAGCCAAAAATGCCTACTACATGAGTCAGGACTACTGCAAACCTGCCACTTTTATCTCATTCCAGAGGCTGAATCTTCAATTCTTCTCTACCAAGTTTGGCTTAATCCACAGGTTACATACCACCATAGGTAGGCCTGCTGTCCCATTCTTGCTCCATTCGCATGGGGAGGTAAATCTATCTACTTCTGGCGATTTTCCCCTATTATTGCTATTTCTTTGTTATAAAAGCTCTTCTGTGGCTCCCCACATTTGAGAGTTAGTCAGGGTATAGTTTGACTGACTTTAGGAGCAAAGATAGCTTAAGCTGCTCCCCTTTTTCCTGCTTCTAGGAGCCCTTCACATCTACGTGCCATACTCCACCACCCTCAAATTCTGTCAACACATTTGGTTGTCTGATCACCCTGGAAACCAATCCTGGCTAAAAATAATGCTAAAAAAAAAAAAAAAAGAGGAGCTATTTAAAAACCTAAATGAGTTTGTTGAACTACAGCAAGGATGTGGGAACAAACAGCTCTGAAGAAGAGGAAAGATAAGCAGGAGTTTCTTAAATTGATTTCTCCACCAAAGCACATGTTTCATTAGATAATCGTGACCTTGCCATGTTAAGAAAGGCTCTGATGAGTAAGTTCCTCCACTGTGAACTCCAATTCATTCCATTGTGGCCATATTTTTACATGCTACTTTTATACCTCCAGCATGCATTGCCCACTCAGTAGTCTGGAAGTTTCACACATTTTTAGCAAATTGTACTCAACATCATTTTTTAGTTCTGTCTTCTAATGGTTTTACTTTTAACATTGCAGAGTTGATGTACATTTTTCTCTGTTTAGTCATGACCTGTATTTTCTCAGGAATGCATTTCAGTGCTCCGAGCCTGCTTTAGTCAGTTATTTAATTGTGCCTTCTCTTTTCTTTTTAACCCTTTTGGGTAATTGGCACACATTTTTCTCAGTGTCACCTGTGAGATTTGTAATCTCAATAACTGCATCTTTTAATTTTTTAGACATCCTCTTTTTTTATAGTTCCTCTTTCTGATATTAAGCTCTAAGTAGAGTAAACAGAGAAATTGGAGGAAGGGTTTCATTAAACAGGAGTGTTAAATGTGAATATTATAACCAATATATAGAGGTCAACTATGTAAGTCAGGTATG